GTAACTGTAAGGCTCTTGTTTACCCTACAGGAGCTGTATCCCGTGGTCACTGGAGGAGTACCTGAGACAACGCAGCTGCTGACCCAGAGATTTGATCACATTCTTTATACTGGCAACTCCACGGTGGGCAAAATCGTGATGGCAGCGGCTGCCAAGCACCTGACACCCGTCACCCTGGAGCTGGGCGGGAAGAGCCCCTGCTACATCGACAAGGACTGTGACCTGGCCGTCGCCTGCAGGTCAGGCTGTTGAAGCTCTTGGTGGGGGCTCATCAGAGGGGCAGGGACCCTGTGGGGCAGGTGGACATGTCTGGGCTGTTGTGCCTGGACTGCCAGTGTCACTCAGGCACGATGGACCGGGCTGTGGGGTCTGGAAGGGACTGGCCGTGGAGAAACCATCTCCCTTTCTCCCATAGGCGGATAACATGGGGGAAGTACATGAACTGTGGGCAAACCTGCATCGCCCCAGACTACATCCTCTGCGACCCGTCCATCCAGAGCAAAGTGGTGGAGAACATCAAGGCAACTCTGCAGGTGAGCGTGGAGTTCCTCGTGCCGTGGGAGTTGTCCCCGTTGCAGCCCAGGTCCGAGTTTTGTGGCTGCAGCCCTGGAGCTGTGGCTGTTGTGAAGGTGTGTTGAGCGCTTTGGTGTTGCTGTGCCCTTTGGCAGGAATTCTATGGCGAAGACGTGAAGTCATCTCCGGATTACGAAAGGATCATTAACAAGCGTCACTTCAAGAGGATCCTGGGCCTGCTGGAAGGGCAGAAGATTGCTCACGGGGGACAGACAGATGAGGCCTCCTGCTTCATAGGTGCTTCTGGCACCACTGCTGGGAAGTGGGGTGGTCCTGGTTGCCTTCTGGGGGCTGTGTGTGTCTGTTGCTCACTTAGTGTGTGTTGAACGCAGGCAGCGCCCAGGACAAGGTCCTGTGATGGACCCCGTCTTCTGTGCTGCTCACGCTGTTTCCTGCCCTCCTGTTTGCCTCAGCACCGACTATCCTCACCGATGTTTCTCCGGAGTCAAAGGTGATGGAGGAGGAAATCTTTGGTCCGGTCCTCCCCATTCTGACCGTGAAGAGCGTGGATGAAGCGATTGAGTTCATCAATCGTCGGGAGAAGCCCCTTGCCCTGTACGTCTTCTCCAACAACAAGCAGGTGGGTCTGGCTCTGCTCCCCCAGCAGAGGCAACTCTGCGCAGTTCGATCCTGAACGTGGCCGGTCCCATGCACAGCTCCCGCAGGGTCTGTGTTGGCTCCTCTTTGCTTGTGAATGGGAGCGTTTGCCTCATGGGGGCCACAAGTGTCCCCTGAGCTGCTGGAGGTTCCCAGTCTTCTGCTGAAGGACTCTGGCTTTGCACAACTCCCCGTGCGCCTCGGCTGGCCGGCCCACGCTCATGGATGCTGCTTCCTTGTACATCTCCTGCCCCTGCTGCGGGCTCTGTTGTGCCAGCTCAGGAATTTAGGTCAGGTCTTTGCACTGACAAAATAGCCCCAGGCAGTTCGGGCAGGAGCGCTGAGGAGCGCACCAGACTCCGGCCCATGCAACGCTGCCTCCGACCTGTCCCGCTGGGATGGAGCCTTTTCATTTCGTGGCTGTTCCACCTGGGCCCTTCTTGTGCTCAAGTAATGTAAACCCATCCTCTCTCAAGGAATGAAGCACACCCTGTCGTCGTCCCCCCACAAAGGGACATGCAAGCATCACCTTGACACCCACCTGCTCTGGTAAACGCCATGGTGTTCATGGCCTGTCTTGATTTCCCTCTGTTCTGTGCCATCTCTCAATCTGGGTAGCTGATCAGACGGGTGATATCGGAGACCTCCAGTGGCGGCGTGACAGCCAACGATGTCTTCATGCATGCTTTGGTTCCGGATCTGCCCTTCGGCGGCGTGGGTAGGTCCCTGCTCCATCCCATACGCCTCGTTTCAGTCTCTCAGCAGCAACCTCTAACCCAGGTGCCATCATACCCGTTTGGCAATTCAGGAACTTTAAGCTGCATTTTCCCATTACTTTCACCAATGGGTTTTTTTGTAAAATGTCTCATTAGTGGTTGGAGCAGTGGTGGTGTCAGTGGGAGAGGAAAACCCTCTGGCACATCTGTCCGCAGCTCCAATTCTCCTGTGCGGGGGTGTGGGATGAAGTTGCCCATGGCCAAGTGGATGGTAGAGTTTCCACGGTCGCTGTCAGGCTCGTGGTTTTGTGGCAGAGACAACCTGGCTGTGGGCAGAGGGCTGAGGTCTTGGGTGTTTCTGATGGCAGGTTGCTGAATGTCCTCCTTATGTCCCACTACTTGTTCCTCCTGTCCCCTACCCCAGTGTAAATTTTGTGGGAGAAGCAGGACTGGCCCTGGGGAGGAGAGAGCTGGTGCCATCAACGTTTCCAGTTTGGGTGCACATAACCCACCTGAGGTGCAGTTCAAGGCAGTGAGCAGGTCCTCACTTATTTCTGGGTGGTTATTAAAGCTGCTCTTTGCTTCTCTGCCCTTGGGGAGCAGAGCAGCTGCTCCAGGTGTGAGAAGCACCACAACCAAGCTTCCCCTGTGTCCTGGGGGCTGCCAAACAGAATTTAAGAATTGCAACTGTCGCTGTGCATGGTGTCACCTGGGTGGGTTGTGTCTTAGGTAACAGCGGGATGGGCGCCTACCACGGCAAGCACAGCTTTGAGACCTTCTCCCACCGCCGCGCCTGCTTGATCAAGGACCTGAAGATGGAGGTTGTGAACAAACTCCGGTACCCACCTGGCAGCCAGAAGAAGGTGGATTGGGCCAAGTTCTTCCTCTTGAAGCAGTTTAAGAAGGGCCGAGTGGGTCTGGTCATCACGGCCCTGCTGGGGATTGTGGCAGCGGTGGTGGCAAAGGTGAGCTTCACTCTGCTCTCTGCATGAGTGCGTGTTCCCAGCTCTGTCCCCTGAGCCCACCCCTGTCTCAGCCTCCATTGCCCCATGTCCTCAGGCTCTGCTCCCTCCCTGTGGGCCTCAGCCTTGTTTCTGTGCCTCTCCAGATGGTGTCCTCCAGATGAGAGGGGTGATCAGCAGTAAGCAGCACACCGGACCTGTAACCTGCCACTCACTCCCTGCAGTCCTACTGCCAAACTTTTTCTTACTGCAATTTCTATTCTTCCAAGTCAGCCGATGCACTGAAGAGGTAGAAGCAAATGAAACCCACCTGAAGAAGAGAAGCCCTAAGCTGAAGGCTCTGACTTCTGCTGAAACACAGGAACCGATTCAGACCTCAGCAGTGAGTGGCGGCAGAGGGAAGGAGGCAGCACCTGCTCTGCTTTGCAAACAGGAGCCCATCTAAAAGCTCTTGGGAACGGGGAAATTGTTTGTCACGAGGGTATCAAAACACAGGCAGTTGTTACTGAGCCTGTTATCCACGGAACACATCATGTGATCCCCAAGAAAGGTATCCCGTACCAGGAATAAGCCTAATGAAATGCATGTCTTGCTGATGGGGACGGTCCAGGCTGGTTGTCCCCAGAGCAGAGGGAAAGGGCCTCTAAGAACCTGCAGCATCCCATCCTCGGAAGGACTCATGACCGAACGGGTGATGTCTCACTGCAGGGGAAACCACCTTTAGCCATCCAAGGTGGGCAACAGCTACCTGAGGTGACAGCAAATGCTTTCTGAGCTGTGGCCACGCTCTGCCCCGAGGACTGGAGGAGCACCAGGGACCGTTGCACGGCTGGTGCACTGTGTCTGGGGCTGTGTGCCGACAGCAGCATCACTGCCACCGCAGCCCCAGGTCTGGGGAGGTCCTTGGCCTCAGCTGAGCAGCCAGCCATCTCATGTGTAATTGAATTTCCACTTTTTATTGATTTACTGGAACTCTTTTACCTCCAAGCTTGTAACTGGAAGCTGCTTTGCTGAATAAAACCTTTGTTTTACTGTAAGCATCCGCCTGTTGCACGCCGTCCTGTGCGACTTGCTGTAGGTGACCCTGCTTGGGCATGGGGGTTGGATGGATGATCTCCAGAGGTCCCTTCCAACCCTGACCAGTCTGTGATTCTGTGTAAAGGCCAACTGGGGCCAGGGCAAGACCCACAGGCCCCCATCTCGATGCAGCCCCCAGCGTGGCATGTTCCCCTGCTCCAGCCCGAGCCCTGCCCTCAGCCCCCACCCAAAGGAGACATCCCGAGCCCAGATGGGTTTATTCTTTATTTGGCATTTGTCAGAGAGCAGCAGTGTGAGCAGGGCTGTGCTGGGCTCCGGTCGGCGGGTGATAGCCGGCAGTGCGGGCAGGAGGGGGGAACCCGCGCGCTCGGTGTGCATGGGGCAGCCCAGAGCGGCGTTTTGGGTGTCGGAGCAGCCGCAGGGCCCGTTCCCGAGTGGTGGCTGAGCAGATGCTGCCAGGGGCCCTTTGGCTCCCGTGGGACAGGCGTGTGCTGGGTTCTCTTGCTGGCTGGTCTGTGCTTGGTACATCCACCCATCAGGAGGGGCTTTTGTCCCCAAAGCAAAGTCCCCACAGTCCCCGGTGCGAGTCAGTGTTTGCTGGTCATCAGCTTTATGACGATGCCAAGCGCAAGTACTGCGATGGCTGCAGCCACCGCCAGCCCACGCCGGATGATCAGCTCCTTGGTGGCCATGGTGGTGGCCGGAGGGGACGTGGCAGGAGTGGCTGCCTGGGGCTCCAGCTGGTACGTCGGTCCCTCCATCCTGGTGATGCCTGTGAGCACGACGCCGTTCTGTGCATCCACTCCCGCTGCAAGGAGAACGGGGCAGGGTCACTGAGGGCTTTTGGGGGGATTGAGGGGTTTCTTGGGAGGGTTTTGTCTGAGGTCTGAAAGCACTTTACAAGCAGCCCAGAGCATGGAGATCTCCAGTCCTTGGTAGAACTTCAGTGGGACCTGGTGTCTGCAAAATGAGAACTGCCCAGGGTGCCTCATCCCTCCAGGTTGTCCCCCCGCCAGCCTCCACCACCCTCCTGAGCCCACCCTCGTAATTATTGTTACTGGGGGCGCCACCAGTTTCACTCCCATTTTGTGAGCTTGTTCCTGGCTTATCTGAATCCTTGAGGGCCCTTCCTGGACCCAAACCCACCACCTCAGGCGGTGCCCAGCTCCTGGCCATACCTATGCACCCCCTCACCGCCACGGCAGGGGGGTACGCGTGGGGCGGTGGGACTGGCCCCACGCCAGAGGGAAGAGCCTTGCAGGAGGGTTCAGGGTCCGCGTTCAGCTCCTCTGGCGGTGGATGGGTCACTCCTGCGCGGCGCTGAGCCTGGGGGAGGGAATGCCATGGGCTTAGCCAGCAGCACGTGGTGCGGGAAATCTCCACCGAGAAAAGCCAACGTGTCTCCTCTCGCAGGGTTCGTCCGGCTGGAAGTGGCACCACACAGCTGAAAGATGCCCAAAATGCCCAAGCGATGCTGGCTGGTGGGAACCCTGGAGCAGTTGGGGCACAAGGATGCCTCGGTCTGCTTTGTGCTTCATGTCCCCAGCCAAGGGTGGCACAAGGTACAGAGGAAAACCTTGAGGCCATCGAGTGCATGAGTGGGATGGAGCTAAATTACAGGGAGGTGGCCACAGTCCCAAACACGGGAGCACTGGTTTTTGCTGGAGGCACAGGAGGGATCGAGCCTGCGATGTTGTCTTATCCCACTGCGATCCCAGCCAAGCCGCCGGGGACCTTCCCACTGGCAGGGTGTGATGCCATGGGTGCGAGGGTTACCTCCTCGGCCGCCTTCCTCCAGTCCATGCGGGAGATGTAGGCGATAAAGCAGGTGCAGAGGATGGAGACGCAGACGAGCATGCTGAGCCACAGGCCTGCAGAGGGCATGCCAGAGTCAGTCGGGGCACCGTGGCTGAACCAAACCCAACCGAGAGGCATCTCGGGACAGTGAGCCAAGAACGGGGATGTCACCGAGGGGCACGGGGATGGGGTGGCCATGGGTGCCTGCTGTGGGGCTGCCCAGCCGACCTGGCAGCAGTTCTTTTTCCCAGTAAAATTAAAAGCTTTCAGTAGTTGCAGGTGCCATCCCAGTCCACCCCAGTGTGCCTGGTCCCCAGCCAGGTAGGAGGGCAGAGCCAGGTTGGGAGGGTCATGGTGAGCCATCGGTGGAGCTGGGGGAGCAGCGTCCCGGCCAGGGGACCTGGGCAGAGCTGCCCCCCCGGGGTCGGTACCTATGACGCCGATCCTGGCCACGAAGAGCAGCACGGCGCCCAGGGGCAGGCCCACACCATAGTAGCTCACGGCGTTGAGGATCGCACCGAATTTCTGCTTGCCTATGCCTCTGAGCACCCCGCTGCTGGCGCCCTGATGGGGAGAGGGAGAGGGGATGGGGACAGGGCCAGGAGCTCCGCCTTGGCCAAATTCGGGGTTCTGCCACTGCCTTGCAGGGGGCTGGTGAACCAGCCTGGTGATGACCAGCCTCTGCCTGGTTATTCCTGTGGGTCAGCACCTCTTTGAGCCCTTGGTCTAAGAGGTGAACCCAGGAGCTCTGCAGGGTCCCGATGCATGTGCCGGTGCCCACCCACAGCCTGAGGGACCCTCAACAGATCCATGTGCGATGCTGCCGCTCAGCACCGAGGTCCCCTACCAAAAGCAGCAGCATCCCCAGGGACTTACACACATGGCTTCAAACAAGTGGAAGACAACGTAGACGGGCATGACCCAGGCCACCAAGTCAACAATCTCCCTGGGGACAGAGAAGAGCCAACGATCGCTTTTGGGAACCGACCTCTGCGAACCAAGGCTGGGAGCCGGGGGCACTCACTTGTCAGGGGTGAAGATGTATCCCAGCACATCCTTCGTGGCTACTAAAATGACCCCCACAGCTATGCAAAAAAACCCTGAAAAACAGAGCAAAGTGCTGAGCCTGGCCTGGCCATGACGGGGAGCTCAGGAGCAGCAGAAGGGAGAGAGCAGGGGACACCGGTGTGCGCCCGCGGGCAGGTGACTGCAAACACTCCCTGGTCCTGCTGCGCCTGGAAGAAGCCCGGGCGAAGGCTTCCTGGCACGCCGGTGGCCTGACCTGTGCAGAGCAGGCTGGTGGAGGAGGATCTCTTGGCCGTCTCGACGTCGCCGGCGCCCAGCGCGTTCCCCAACTGCACGCTGGCGGCCCTGCCGCAGCCCGGGCGAAGGCTTCCTGGCACGCCGGTGGCCTGACCTGTGCAGAGCAGGCTGGTGGAGGAGGATCTCTTGGCCGTCTCGACGTCGCCGGCACCCAGCGCGTTCCCCACCTGCACGCTGGCGGCCGTGCCGAGCCCCAGGGGGATCTGTAACCACAGGGCTGAGGTTCGCGTGTGCCTCTGGGTAACGGGACCATCGCAGTGACAGCAGAATAACCACCCGGCAGAGGCGGGGACGGAGTTCAGGATTTAATTTAAAACACCTCCACAGGAGGAATTGGCGGGAGCAGGGATGGCTTAAGTGTAGAGGGGGAAGACCGAGATTTGCTGGAGCTGATTTTTGGAGGGTGCCTGTCCCAGGGGTGTCCCCAGGGAGCCCTGCTCTGAAATAATAACCCCCGGCCCTTACCATGAAAGCCACAACGGACACCTCGTAGATGATGGACTGGGCAGAGAGCTCTATGACGCTCAGCAGGCCTGGGGGAGAGGGGAGGGTCAGCGCTGGGTGCGAGTGCCCGGTGGAGAGCTGCTCTCGGCCCCTGCAACTGCTGCAGACCCCGCTCTGGGTCCCGCCCTGTCCACCTCCTTGCAGCTCCCCCCTCTCCGCTGACCTATCAAGAAGCTCCCGATTTCGTAGGTCCACCACTCGATGCATATCATGAGCATGCTGGGGACAGCCAGGGAGGTGAAGCTGTCCCACTCCAGCAGGCACTCGCTGGACCAGCCTGCAGAGAGGAGAAACATCACCTGATGGATGACCAGACTGGCCACTACCTCCTTGGAGAGCACCTGAGGCAGCTGGAGGTGCTGTTCCTGTTTGCAGAGCCACCAGGGCAATGCTCCTCAGTTCCGTAGGACCTCCGGCAGCACACTGTGCACATACGAGCTCTGCTGATGCCATCCTGTGGGCCACAGAGCGGTGCAACCCTCAGCTCATCCCTCCCGAAGCAGAGCCTCTGAGGACAACCTTGTGCTTACGTCTGTGCTCATCCGGCTTCGGGGCTGAACCCTACAAAGCCTCAGCAGAAAGTTTCATTTCTCCAGAATTAATGTTTACTGCCCAGCACGGTGCTCTGCCAAGGCTCGCGCGTGACGTGCTGCCACCGAAGCAGCACCACATTCCCGGGGCGTACCGGGCCGAGGTTAATATTTCACTGTCAGGACTAACAGAATTCACTTGGTGGAAGTGGTGGAAGATTCATGAATACTTGTGTAAGGCAGGACCCAGAGGGAGCTGGGGAGATTCTCTTACCTCCCCAGGTCTTCACGTGGAGTTTCTTGCCGATAATATACAGCAACAAGAAAATGGTTTGTGAATACTGAGCAACGGTGTTGGCCCAGGCGGAGCCCCTGCAGAGGAAATGAGAAAGGTCATCGGCATCCTGCTTGCACCTCCCCGGCCTCGGGTGCCAGTGCGTAACGGCCCACCGTGCCCCCGCGAGCGCCGGATGTTCGGCTGCGCCTGGTGGTGCTGACGTCCCTGAAAAGTCCCTTGCCGTTGCCAGGTGTTGTGTTTTGCCCTCCGTGGGATGCGGGCGCTACTCACGTGATGCCTAAATGGAGCACGTAGAGGAAGATGCAGTTTGCGACCACGTTGACGACGTTGCCGACGATCCCGCTCAGCACCAACGGCCACATGATCATCTGCAAAGAGGAGGAGAGGGGGGCTGCGCCGCCTTCACAAAAGCTTCGGGTGAGAGATGCGAAGGTCCCTGCCAGCCCCGCGCTCAGCAGCTTTCCCAGCCAAAAAAGAAACTTCTGATAATGTTGCCTGCTTGGAAAATGAATGTGTTGGAAGTAAATCCCTGATGTGGGGAAGTATGAAGGGAGGTCCGTCAGGCAGGTAGATTCACCTGGCTGTGGGATTGGGTGATGTCCAGGGTCAGATCTCTTCCAGGGCACCCGGGCAGTGGTGGGGACAAACGCTGCCTCGCCACCGGGAACAGCGAGCATGAAAACCCTGGGTGCACGGTTGAAGGGAGCCCCGAGCCAGGGCTGAGCCGCTGTGGGTGTGAGGGCCGTAGACCTACCTGGTTCTGCAGGTATTTTGTCTCCAGGCTATACAGAAAAACTGCCTGAAAAGGAAATTGGTGGGTGAGATGAGGCCAGCGCTGAGCAGGGGCTCTGCTGCCGCGGTGGAAAATAGGAGCAGGATGGTCGGTCCCTGTGCGTGGCCAGCATCCAGGGTGCCCACGGGGACTCACCGGGAGAGCAGGGACAAACGCCATCACGTAGCGCTGGGTTAACCTGGGGGGACACGAGGGGCATGGTTAGCGAGGGGGAATGGCCAAGCCACCCACCTCTAGTCCCACCATGCTGGGGAGGTACGAGACAGTGGTGTCTGGGCCACGGGGCCACCCGACCTGGAGACCTCAGGGTCCTGGCGGATGAGGAGGAGCAGCTGCTCGATGTTGATGAGGATGGCGCAGCAGGGGAAGCAGCAGAGCAGGAGGATGAGGGTGGCACGCTGCAGGATCACCCCCACGCGCAGCAGGTTCTTGCTGCCGTAGGTCTGCAAGGCGAGAGGACGGGGAGCTCTGCTGCACTGGCAGCACGCCGGTGCTGGGGGGGACGGGGACCCTGCGGAGCATGGAGCGGCCCTGACCACCCCGGAGACCACCCGGGAAGGGTTTGTTATTTCAAGGGGAGCACGGAGCTGCCTGTTACGGGATTGCTGCTTGGGGACAAGCTTCCCCAGCTCGCAGGTGCAGTCGGGGCTCCACGCGGTGCCTGGGCAGCATCAGCTGATGCTGGAAAACCCCACATCTCCAGGACAAGTGCCAGCATCTCTTACCCACCTGCGATATCAAGGTGTCACATGCCGAAGCCAAACCATAACCTACAGAGATGGCAGTAACATTTATAACCTGGAAACAGGAGTTAAAAAAAAAACAAACAACACAACAAAAAAACAAAGAGCAAATGTGAGCATTTAAGACTTTTAGGTAGGGAGAGGGGCTAAAAGGAAAAGTGGGAGTCTGAAATCTCTGTCCTTGTCCATATCCCATCCCAGTTGTCAGCAGGTGGGAGCTGGTGCCCGGAGCTGGGCAGCCCCCAGGAATGCTTACAGCGATGGCCAGCGTGACGGAAGCCAGCTCGACCTTGCCCAGGTGGCCGCAGAATATGGAGCTGACGAGGTGTATCAGGAAGATGAGCAGCTGGATCAGGATCTGAGTGTGGGGAAGAGGAGAGGCGAAGCTCAGAGATGGAGGTGAGCAGGGGCGGCCGTGCTAGGGGGTAGCGCTCTCCTCCCGGGGTCCTTACCAGTGGCCCCGCCAGCACCAGCAGCTTCTTCGCGTCCTCCCAGAAGTTGTCAGGGACCAGGCGCCGAAGCCAGCGGCGTTTCTTCCCGCAGCTGCTGGGTGTGAGACCCTGCTGGCCCACGGCCATTGCCTCGCTGAAGCCGTTCTCCTCGGGGAGGTTCGCCTGCTTCATGCTGCCGCTCTGCCAGGGGAGTGAAACAACCCTCTTCCTCCGCGCTCTGTTAAAACCACCCCACCGGGGTGAGCAATGTGTAACCACGGTGGGGTGAACTTCAGCCGGGGCTGGGCGAGCTGACCGCGTGCACCTCGCTGCCGGCAGCCGGGGCGGCGATGGGGT